TGTGTGTGTGCGTGTGTGCAGTTGGCAGCAGTACACACACTCCGATGTCACGGTCGTCTTCAACATCTGTCCACTTGGAGAATAACCCGCCAGGCTTCCACACAGAGGAACTGCAGTCACGTTGCTTTCCAGCGAGGAAAACTGCTGCTCTCATCTTCAGCAACTCCAGACATCTGTAATGTGCTGAATTATCTGACATATTACATTAAAAACCTGCAATCTCAGTCATATTTTATCATCCTAGTATCATTAAGGTTGTGAGTGCATCAGTAGCAGTGAAGTATAGACTAATATAACCACTGTGTATGCTTTAAGAATCATAGTTTTCTATGCTGTTGACTCCCTCTCATTCAAAATGATGCCTTTATAATACCAACATACCAAATTACACACAGATACAGACAAATCATAAAATAACAACAATAAATGAGTTGATAAACATAGCAAATGCTGCTTCCATACAGGGTGTGAGGGCTCACTGAGTGAAGTTTAATAAGTATGAAAATGATGTGAACCGTGGCTTTCAATGTCCTATGAAAGAATGTGGGCCCAGATGTTAGAAACTACTCTCCAGCACCATAATCCGAACACCAAATGAGGAGATTTATTGTGGAAGAATGGTGTTCATCAAGTACAAGAGGCCAAGAAACACTAACATTTTTATTTTATTTTTTACTTTAATTGTTCACCCATCAATAAAATCCAAATCCTAAGATAATTAAATGTATAGAATACCATAGAAAATGATAAGTAAAATTAAACAAACCAATACAATACAGTTATATATATATATGTAGCCTACATATAGGCTACATAGGTTACATGTTTACACCCAGGAAATTAGTTTTCAGTGCATCTTACATATTAAAGGTGAAAACAGAAGACAATCTGACAAATCTTGATTTTTAACTTTTACTTTTAGCTTATAAGCATGAGAGTATGCATGTATGTGTTCAGTTACGGCCTCTGCAGCTTCTTAAATTATCTTTGTTTTATATATTGTCTTACTGTCTCCTTTTTCCCCCTTTCATTTTGCTGTAAAACCCTATAAAGCTTCTGTTTTATAAACTGCTATATATATACAGACAGTAAAACTAGTTTGCATGTTTTCCAGAGGTCTACTGCCATGTGGATGTTCATCCAGTGGCCTCGCCGCCTCTTTTTCTGGTTAACCCCGCCCACACCGAGCGCTCAAACCGGCCATTGGTTCAACGAGGCACCGTCCGGCCCACTGGTGGAGTTTATAAGTTCACAGTGCGCTAAAGCAGCCAGTGGCACAGTGGAAGGTTAACCACTGAAGGAGACTAAACTAGGCGGCTGAAACTTGTGTCTGCTCCGTGGAGATGTTGTAAAAACTTTCTGAGACTTCCCTCAGTCCATGAATGCAGCTGTAAAACCCTCCACACTGTCACAATGTGGAAACCCGCCGGCGGATCAATAACCACCTTCAGCCCAGCAGCAGGACCCCGCGCTGCTGCCGCCGCGGTCACCTGTCTGCTTGTGACCGGGATGCTGGTCGTCACCGTCGGGCACCCGGGCAGCGGCGACCCGGTGGAGCCTCCAGCTGCAG